CTGCCTCATATTTAAATTCTGCCTCATATTTGAATTTAGTTAAAATGACTATCCATTAATTTCAAGGTATTCTTATAATTCTTAACCTTAAGGCCTGGGGTCTCAAACTCAATTTACCCGGGGGGCACTGGAGGAAGAGTCTGGGTGAGGCCTGCATAAAGGATTCCACAAAAAACATTTTTAAAAAATCCTCAAATGTCATAAACATTTAATTATTTCTCCAATACATGAACTGCAGGCTTTGGCTTTGACAAAGACAAGATGAGGGTGTGACAAAATTTAGTTTATTCCACTTGGCACCACTCTTGTTCTATGTTTCATAGAAGTCTTTAGCCAGCTAGCAATGTATGGAGAACGTCTACACGTGTGACGTCATTACCACTTCTACTTGCCACAACAGTGCGGCAGATGACAAACAGCCCAGTAGCAGTCGCCTTTCTCTGCATTTGATCATGGCATTTGATAATGGTAGAAAGTACCAGAATGGCGATTGCAAAAAAAGGCAGCTGGTACCAGACTGTTCCATCTTCCGCCACACTATTGTTACAAGCGCAGTGTGCATGAAATCGGTGTAGCTTAGCCTAGCACCAGTAGCGGAACAAGTCAGCATTGGGCCGGCGGTCGGGGCTAATGACCGGGCCCTTTATACCCAAATAATAAAGCTCATGATAATTTAACTTTACAACATAGACATGCCCGCAACAGCAGAGCTAACAAGTTTCACCACCACAGAGAGTGACTGTCATTCTGAAATCTATCAGATATGACATACAACAAACCAAGAGAACAACAGAAACATCAGGCTACGTGGTCACTAATGATGAAACAACACAAATTCAAATCAGTTCAGAACCATGGAGAGCGATCGGATCGTTTTGACACTATCAATTTCAACTCAGAGCCTGGAGCAGCTAGCAACTGCTGAAGCTAGGTTTATTGTTGACGCTTTAAAACGAGCACACAGCAGCGCACGTTGAAGCGGGTACGCAGAGGCATGCGCAGCATGGTAGCACCTTGTGCCAGCGGCGCCGGATTCATTTTTGAGGTGGAGGGGGGCGTGTTTCGTCACCTCTGTTTGGCACTTTGAGTGTCAGGCGCGCGCACTTGTTCAGTTGACACGATAGCACTTGTCAATCAACTCATTGGATTTGTCGCAATTTGCCCCGAAGTAAGCGCCCCTTACCTGGAGGACAAAGTTGTCGGGTCCACCATGCGAAGCAGTCTGGTTACTGATTTACTGATTGCTGGCTATTAAATGTGCTGTGGTGATACAGATTTGGTGAAAAATAATCAGAAAAATGTTTAAAAGTTGTGGGGGAGGGAACATGCACAAAGCATGTTTTTCCCAGAGTATTTAGATGAAGGAATAAAGTTTATTCCATTTTCAAAACTGGTGTCTGGAAAATGCAGGATAAATGCCTGCAGCCGACCCAAGAACAGCTGAATACAGAGATCCACTGTATTAAAACACCATGTTTGTATGAAGGTTTTGTCATTATTACATCATATTCTTAATGGTTAAATATCAATGCGTGAAGCTTGGTCCAAATCAATAAATATGTGCTGTGTCTACAAATGGGTACAGTTTGCGTGCAGTTGAGGCACATCTCTAAACCAGACACGTGTGACGCTCAAAGCACATTTGATGTGAATGCACCAAAAGTGCAACGTGCCGAACTTGAAGCGTCTGAGGCGTTTTTTAATGCGCGAAACGCGTTTAGTGTGAAGGTAAGGTAATTTTATTTATATAGCACATTTTCAGCAACAAATTAATTCAAAGTGCTTTACATTAATTAAAAGGAAATACAAACAAAATAACAAACCATAGGAAAGACAAAAAGAAGAAAGAGAGCTAAATCCTTTTCTGGGTTAAAAGTAATATAAACTAAGCAGTGATGTTCCTGTTAAGTATTTCTGGATTCTAAGTTCTTGTTATTCTAATTCTAATTCTGATTCCATTTCTGGGCTGTATAATATTGATCTAAATAGTGCGTACTCCACAATTTCTGATATAACTAATAAACTAAAATAATCCTTTTCTGGGTTAAATAGGGAGTACTCCACCGTTTCTAAAACAAAAAAGAGGAAAGGACACATTAAGGCAAATGGCAACATTCAGACAAAACAATGGGAAAAACAGAGACATGAGTGAAGGCGGTGATGTCACAGGGCCATGAAACCAGGAGGGTGAGGCTCCTGGCAAATCCGATAGAGGTGTTGTTTTTCGAGGAAAGTCCTTGGGAGCTCTCCGCTCCACAGCTCCATGGATACAGGAGGGGGTGAGGTGGAAAGGAGGGTTATGTTTACATATCTTCAAGGAGATTGGAAATATGCAGCCCTTCCAAGGCCACACGGGGGAAGCCAATTCAGAAACAGAATGTCTTAGGTTGGGAAGATTATAAATTTCAATCTTCCCTAAAGTCTCTCCAATACATCTCAGTTCCCAATTATCCAAATTAGTTTGGTTGTTCCACTGAACTGCAGTGGAATGACAGTTAGCAAGTTCTCCAAGATCGATTCCATCCCGTTAGTGAGTTTTAGAGTCCTCGTCTCTGTCCACACCAGCAGTCTGAGTGTTCACTAGTTCGGCCAAGTCCATCACAAATTTGTCGATAAGCCAGGTATCCGCAAGCTCCAAACAGCAGAAATCCTGTTATCATTAATAGATCCAGGGTGAATCCCGCCAGGTGTGTCCCCGCAGGACAAGAGGGCTCTTCTGTGCCCAGACTTCTAGTCGAAAATTTGATCAATTGCATTGAGAGATCGATTGACCAGATCCATAATTTGTAAATTTGGATGATGTGCAAAGAAAGGCTCCACAAATATAGAAAAAGACAGGACAAAAACAGAGCGAGCAGGGCAGGCCTGGGCAATGAGGAAGCAGAGGAAAAAAGCGTCCGCCTTCATCGAGAGCAAGAGAGAAAGTCAAACGCACCATTAGCGGGTTAAACGGTTGTCCAAGTGGGTGACCCGTCAGATCTTCAGTTCGCCAAACCACACACAAAAAAGAAAGCTCATAAATCGGCGACCTGCCAGAACCGCACACCCTGTAAAAGGCTCAGGTGGGATCCAAACGACCGCTCTTAGATCTGTGGGAGGGATCAAACTCCGCTCATTCATTTTTAGCTCACAGAAAAAGCGTCAAGCCACTAAATAAACAAAAGTAAATTGACCAATAACATTTAATCTGTGGTATAATCTGTGCTGCCAAAAGGCCGCACAGATTATACCACCCCCACAAACTCACACAGATGTGCGCTATGTACAAGAAGTTTGACACAAAAGATCTTTTTTTGATGAGATTGGATAATAAAGTAATCCAAAAAATTATTGTTTTCTTTTTTTGCATGCCTACGGCTGTACAACTTCGGGTGCCCCTGTGCTCAGCTAAATGCGCACGATACAATTATGCTGAGGATGGATAGATATGACAAAATCACAACTGGTCAAATATTTTGAACATTTAAACAAAATAATAATAAAATAAATGTCAAATATCCTCCAGCAATGCCAATTCAGAGCAGCAGGACAACCTAATGTCCTGCTGCGTCCTAACGCATCATCACGTTACGGCGCAGCAGTGAGCTGGATGCTGTTGGTCTGAAGCCAAAAGGCAGCACAGATTATATTTGCTGCATGTTCCACAAAATTTGAGGGAAAGAGATTTCTGAGTGGGACAGATAACCAGCCAGACTAACAATATTTTTGCATTGAAAACAAAATGAAAAACTCCACGATTAAACTTTAATGTGCTTGTTATTTTACAAACAAAAATGAATTTCAACAGCCATAGAACTGAAAGCTATCAGTAGCCATCGATACTAATGGCTGATTGGTTTTTGGAGGGGAGGGGGGAAAATATCCATGCAATTATTTTTCAACTCGAGCAAAAATGATCTGCACTGGCAACGTGTGGGTGACCATTTGGTCCGGACCGATAACGGACATGGCCCCGATGTCTTTTTTTCCCATTCCAACACCGTTAGAAAGAAAACGTCGACACAGTTCTATAAATACTGCATTTGGGCCAGATGTGGCACAAATACAGAATTTTCATTTAATTTTTAGGCAGAATTGTTCCAGACACAGACCGTATCAGAGCCAGAGCCTTTTTTCAGATGTCAGACTGGTTCATGATCCCAACCCGACCCAGAGCTGCCGCATTTGTGTAAACCTTTGGGTAACTGTTATGATCTGGAGCCTTAGATTTGGTCCAGATCTCAGTGCTGTAGATTTTATCTGTGCTCTTGTCGTGACTGACAGAGAAATGTCAGTCACAGATTGTCAGAGTTGCGTGCAGTCTGTGTAAATGTCTGGTAGGACCAGCTGACGGGCAGAGCAGGGCCGTAAAGTGGGGGGGCCAATGGCCCCCTGGCTCCACCATTGCCTATGCTGGTGCCTATGCCTCGTGCACCTCTGGATCTTTGTAACTTGGCGCGGATCGCCTTGTGAACTGGACAATCTGGAAGATGCTTTTCCAGGTGGCTCCAATATAAAAATGCTCTAGCTAGTTTGCCATCTGTTGCGAAGTGACTGATGATGACGTTAGTGGACGGCAGAATACACTTGGAGACAATAAGAACGATCCACTTGTAATTTTGTATGTCATAAAGTTTAAGTGTAAATACAGCCAGTGATGTAACACAACATTTTATTCAATATTTTACACCCACTATGTCACTAAAATCAGTCGGTCTGGTAAAGTTTTTAGCAATCACAAGTCAACAATGACTGGGGCAGCCTATTATATAATCTACTGGAGCATCATTTTATGTAATTTTACATACACCATACTCAACAGGAGGGAGCCCACCTTCTCCAGCTCTCATCAGACGTGATAAAGGCTTGGATCCCTGAAGTCACACTTGGATCCCTGAAGTCATATTCTGCCTTCAATCCGGGCCCTCTCTAGGCCCAGGCCAGGGGCCCGCCGCCCCCCCAGCACCCTTACAGCCCCGCCCCTGCCTAGCACCGAATGTCATGTTCGGTGTTCATGACGAAGAACGGCGGGTGGGACTTCCTTCAGAGGTCCGCTCACCCTTTGGGCCGCACTAATATTATACTTTCATATCATGGTGGGGGCCACGAGACATCGTTCTGCGGGCCGCAGTTGGCCTGCGGGCCGCGAGAATGAGACCTCTGCTTAAGGCGTTTATGTGTGTCAGTCTTTCTTGGTAAACTGAAGATCACTTTCCTTCCTGGATTGTCTTATGACTACCTGCTGTTTGAGTCACATCCGACTGCCAGCAGTTCTTTCCGGAGGGATTCCTTTTCCTTTGACTCTGTTATTTAGTATTAGTTCACTTCCACTTACTGATGCCTTTTATGTCGAGCACATTTTTTTTTTGTCCTTGCAACAGCATCTTATCACCATTCACTCTATGCTCAAGTTCCATCATGGACTGTATGAAGAGTACAAGGCTCTTGCTGGACGTAGACCTGCAACTTTCACCAAATCTCCACTGTTAAAATTACTTCCTCAAAAACACTAGACATTTTCCATTGAGTAAGTTTTTTTCCTTTGCATATAAAGCGGTTGTTGCTCATGCTTTGGTAATTACAGCAGTCATCTATTTTGATAAGGGTGAACAGACTAAAAGTATGAAAGTGGAATGTGACTAAAAGCCAAAATACTCTGGGGAAAAACATTTTTCAGTCAAACAGAAAGTACAGGAGCCAAGCTCTCAGCAGAGAAGTAAATTGGATCTGGTGAGGTCAAACCTGATCCAATCAGAAAAGCTTGGATTATATCCTGTGGAGTGAAAAAAAAAATATTAGGTCTCTTTCTGCTTTTTAACAACACCTAAATGTTTCAAGGTAATACAAAAAATAACAGTGAACATTAGAAACCAGTCTTTAACCATTCCCCTCAATCAGAAAATAATTATGAAGTTCAGCTTTACTAACCACACCCAAGACTTTAGGGGATATATTCTTTTGATTGACTGAAAGCAAGTGGAACTTTTTTGAGATAATTTAATTTGTTGGCGTAAAATTAGCACAATAACACCATACCATGTTGGTAGCATGATGATATCATGTTAGTAGCATGATGTTATGATGTAGCATGATGGTATCATGCTACATCATGTTGGTATCATGATGGTATGTCGGTAGAATGATTGTAGCTTGATGGAAGCATGTTGATAACTTGATGGTAGCATGATGATAGGATGTTGGTAACATGTTGGCAGTGATGTCAGTAACAGGCCAGTTACTGACATTGGACCACTTTTTTCAGTAACTAATCTAATGCTTTACTATTTCAAATCCAGTAATCAGATTAAAGTTACTTACCCAAATCACTGTGCGTTACCATTTTCTTTTGTAATGTAATGTTATTTTTTTCTATGCGTCGAGTGACCGCCGTTTCTATGCGACAGCAGCAGCCGATCGCTGTTACAGAAATGTAAACAATGGAGGGAGGAGAGAAAGGCGCATTTTGTTGCTGAAAAACGAGGAACTATTTTGAGTTTTTGTCACCCAGTCCGATTATTATAAGTCGTTTTGGGCTTGTTTTTTCTAAAGTCGCTTGCAAATTTAATGAGTCGCAGATTGCACTTTTTTGGGCTTGATTTTGAACGTGAAGTTGCTTATTTGGGTTTTGAAATGAGCAGAGACACATACTAAGCCCCAGAATTTGTCTGACATACAAATAGTTTGTATGTGATGGACAGGCTCTCCCTGTCCATCATTTCCTGGATGATCCGTCCCACTGTGTCTTTGTTAATGTCAAGTTAAATGTATTTGCTGTGAATGATGTCGAGCTTCGCGTTGCCCTCCAGAAAACTGCAAACATCGAGACTAATCTGCACAGCGCAATAAACGTGAAAACAGCCATGAATGAACGTGTCCCTATAGTTGAGCAAATACTTGCCATTATAATCATTCATATTAAGGTAAGTGTCACAAATCTGTGCAGCGGGCCATCTGAGTTGTAGAGCCGCAGGAGGAGCACTGTGCGCTACACTCTGACGGCAAACGCAGGGCTGTAACGCAGAACCTGGAGGCTGAGGCAGGGAGGGGGGAACTCTAAAATCCTATTTTGAATTTTCCACACAATAGTGGAACACACAAAAACACGCAAAATTACTAACGTTTTTTTTTTTTGTTTTGTTTTTTTTTGTACTCTTGTAACAATCTTCCATTCAGTTCAACCTTGTAAATGGATACACGTGGTTGATTTTACCATCATACAATAACTTGCAATTAAGTATTGGCAAAGCTCAATGTAATTTTCACAGGTGGTGGAACATTATTGTCCACAGCTGCAGAAAGTAACAAAAAAATTACTTTTTATGTAACAAAGGAGAGCACTGAATCAGTCACTTAGGGTGCGTTCACACTGCAGCCTGAAGTGACTCAATTCCGATTTTTTGGCAATTCCGATTTTTTTGCCACGGCCGTTCACACTGCCAGTAAATGCGACCTGTATGCGTTCTGCAGTCTGAACGGGCAAACGACCTGAAAGTGTCCCGCATGCGCAGTAGAGGGCGCCATAGCGTCAGCGTTCTCAGTGTTCTGCCAACCGCCATAAAAAGAAGTGCTCAGTGTTTGCGGAAGTAAACATGGAGGCTAACGGTGGAGCTTAGCTTACATATTTGAAGTTGTTGTCCGGCCGGAGCAGCATATTAATGACTTAATCCTCATATAATCCGTCATGGTTGTTGTTTTTCTTCCCACTTGCGCTTATCAGGATGCAGAACAGTGAGATTTATTGAGAAACAGTGATGTTCAGTTTGGATGAATGCGACCTGGACGTTATGGTCGCATTTGAATCGGATAAGTATTGGATATGGGTCACATTCGAAAAAGAATCCGACCTGTGCTGTTCACACTGGCATGAAAAGATCGGATACAGGTTGCATTACGTCAAAAAATCGGAATTGAGTCACTTCAGGCTGCAGTGTGAACGCACCCTTAGTTACTTTCCAAATCAAGTAATCAGTAATCTAACAGCTACTTTTTCAAAGAATAATCAATAATCCGATTAGTTACTTTTTCAAAGTAACTATGCCATCACTGCTTGTTGGCAGCATATTGGTAGCATGATGATAGCATGTTGGTATCATGTTGGCAGCATATTGGTAGCATACTGTTAGCATGTTGGTAACATGATGACATATTGTTAGCATGTTGGTAATATGATGGTAGCTTGATGACAGCATGTTGGTAGCATGAATGTACCATGATGGTAGCATGTTGGTAGCACGGTGGTAACATGATTGTACTATGATGGCAGCATGTTGGTAACATGATAGTAGCATGATGATAGCATGTTGGTAGCATGATGATACCTACCCGAACAAGTTCCTTTAATCGATGGAACTAGGAAGTTGTTGTACATCAGTTTGTGTCTAGGGCTGGGGGATATGAGAAAAATCTAATATCATGATATATTTTTGCTATATCATGATAGACGATATATATCATGATATTCTTAACAAAGCTCCAATGTTATTTTAAACTATAGAGCCCTTGCAGCATGATGTCACCCACACAAGTTCCTGTTCCCATTTCTCTGCTAGACTTAAATGTAAGCTCATATAAAAAGTGATGCAGTATTTTGCTATGAACTGTCTACACTATGACTAGATAACAAGGTGAGAAATAAGTTTTAACTAAGAAAAAAATAGCGAGGGAGAGGAAAGTAGGTCAGTTATGCTTGACTTTGACAAACTTAACATATAGATGTGCTGTGGAATAAGGTGTGTTTTGGTTCAGCTTAAAAATAATAAAGGCGACCTACACACAAACTGACAGATTATCAGTAAAGCAGGTGTTTAAATTAGCTATTCAGCCACCGCTGTGTTACTGTGGCTAATAGCAGCGGTGGCTAATCTACCACAGCGATCACTCATTAATAATCGCAAAATACACATCAAGCCTAAAAACTGAAAACTGTAACGAACTGAATGATCTGTTCTATGTAGGGTAATGTTTGAGTGTTTTTGGTGCTGAATCCTGATATATAAAGTTGCGTTGTTGTCAGTTGCTATGGCAACGAGTGCGTGTATTGTAAAGCCGACAGAGCGAGAAAAAAAAAGAAAAAGAATGAGTAGTTTTGAGTTATTTTTTCCATTGCATAGCATTAAATGAATCATACCTATGTCTACAGGTTTCACTTTAACGGACAAGTTCTACCACGGCAGCGCGGCTATGAACGGCATGTAAAAGAGTAGTCTGATTGGGGGGGAAGACTGCTTGTGGCAATAGTTTTATAACATGTTTTGTAAATTACCTCATTTTGTTCGACATCCTCCATATAAAATCCAAACTACTGCCAAATTATTGATCCAGCGCTGTTTCTCTTCAGAACTAGACTAGTTCATCTGACTCCTCTTGAGTTACCGTCTCATTCACGGCTCTCCTCAAGCTCTCACCGTCACCATGTAGTTTGTTTTCTCCACGCAGCGTGATTGGTAGAAAATTTTCAGGTTGTGCATTCATAGGGTGTCAGATAAACCATACTCACAGTGAATTTGACGACGAAAGTTTATTATTTGAACAACAATTTATACTCGGTAGTGGCGATATAGCCATTTTAACTTTCGTCAATTGAAATTATCGCGGTACACCGAGTATACTCGGTATGTCGCCCAGCCCTATTTGTGCCATGACACAACCTTTAACTGGCTGTTCAATCTTTAAAAGGTACCCTCACTTCATACAGTGAACAGCTGTAAATCCTGTAAGCCCAGTGGGCATCTAATGCTGTTGGACGTAATGACATTATATGAGCTATAAAATGTTAACTGCTGTAAACGTTTGGGCTAGAAGGTTATTTACAATTTCATCAGCTGGAAAGTTGAGAGTGGAAAATAACATGTAGTGCTATGTTTATAAGCCATTATAAAAATCATCATTCACCTCAGACTTGGACACTGGAGGCAATCGGCCAAATTGCTGTAAAGTTTCAAAATAATACCCTAAGCAGTCTTCAGTATCCTTGTTAAAGCTAGTCAGGCTTAGAGGTAAAATAAACTGTTCCATTCTGTCAGTAATGAGGGCCATGATATGTGCTGGTGTAACCTCCAGCTTTAAGAGTGGCAGACTTCAGACACTGCAAGGCCATCCAGAAGTCTGGTACTCTAAGTCAGGCATGGCTGCCAGCTGTTGTCTGTTGTCCTGTACTGAATGCTCAAGTTGTTCCTGTCCATGTGCCATCCTATAAACCCCAGAATTTGGGACAAACAACAGTACAGAGGAAGAGGACTGATTCAGTGCTCTCCTTTGTGAATAGCTTTCTGGTGTAAGTGCCACTGCCCTTTAGCTTTGCCTCGCCTCAGAGAGAGATTTCGTGACTCCGAGACATTAACCGGTTGGAACAAAAAACACTTGTGCCCAACATTTAGAGGGTTCTGTTTGATCTTTTTTCAATTTTGTTGCCAGCTAATTTTGTTTGGCTTTGGATATAGGAATAACTGTAATTTTGTCTTGTCTCGTGTCTTGATGCATTGAGAATGACTTTCATATTACAAGTTTCAAGGTACATACAGTAAATGCAACTTTCGGTCACTATCCAATTTGTAAAGAATAAGTTAGTGTCTGTTGTTTTTTTTTTTCCATCTTTCAAGGCAAAAGTCAGCAGATATGGCTCTATTAAACATATCAATGATACTCTACATCTGTTTTCAAAATGTGATGTTTAAAGCTACAGTTTGTGCATCTGTTTCACCATAGCAATAACAGCATTCCAACGAGGTGAACGTTGGGTCTTTTTTTCTTCTTGGGCCGCTGGAGACTCTTTGTTCTGCTGACCTTTTGACCAGAAAGTGAAACTCCCTGGAGGCACATGTTAGAGCAGAGTCCCAATGTACTTATATTTTATTGTTCACAGGCGTAGAATGACTTGGTCCATGTCTCAGGAGCTTCTTAACATGCCTGCATTTCCCCCACAAGTGACCTTCCATCTCCACTGCAGTTTTAACACACTTGATGTTCACATTTGTGGGAAGCTTCCTTATCTGTTTAAAGCTACAGTATGTAACTTTTATAAAAAATTGTTGTTGAAACTGTCACCATGTTGTGACATTAAAATATGAGAGAGATAATCTGTGAAGAAATTGAGCTCCTCCACCTCCTCATTGAGCTACTCTTGCAATCTACAGAAATGCACCGCTCCCAGTCAAAAACTGCCAGTCAGAGTCAGGAGGAGGGTCTTAGTGCTGTAAATCAAGCTTGAGTATGTGCTGCTCACAGCCCTCCCCTTGCCTTCATGCTTGCTATGCTGTAGCTTTCTCTCAATAGCAGAGCCTGCCATGAATGCTAAGGCTAGCCACCAATGACGACAGAAAAACAGTTTTCCTGTAACGCTAAGTTGTTTATCTGACATTAGCATATTTAGCATTGCCCACGTGAATGTGATTGACAGTCCCAAGGCCCTCCTCCTGGCTCTGATTGGTTGTTTTTCCGTTGGAGCGGTGCATTTTTGTTGATTGCAATAGTAACACTGGGAGGAAGTGGAGGAAGTTGATTTCTTCTCAGATCACCTGTCTGATGTTATACTGTCACAACATAGTGATAGTTTTATCAAATATGTAGAAAAAACTTTAAAAAAACAGTTACCTATTCCAGCTTTAAGGTGTTAGGGCTAATATCAGCTGATTTATGATCAAAGGTTGTTTGTATTAATGATGTATTTGAAAAATCTCGACCGTTCTTGATTTGACTGGTTGTTGGCTTAATTAGCATGCTTGGTGGAAATGTGGCAGCTGATCTTGTATTCTTTAAAAACAGCAGCCGTTTCTTGACAGATAAGGCATACAGCTTTTGACTGGATTTGACCCCTGCTCTTGGGTCTGCAGACGAGAACATCCTTACACTTATTTGCTTTCTCAAATAAGCCACATCTGGGCAGCTTTAGAGATTTTGCCGTTTTATTTTTTTTAGCGTTTTTGTTTATGTCAGTGACCTTATAAAAGTAGGAATGATTTTGAAATGTTATCGCATGTCAGATTATTTTATTGTGGTAATTGAAAAGTTATAATGTGGTCGAAGACAACACTTGCCTTTGTTGCAATGTTAGACGAATGCTAAAAAGCAACTGGCATAAATTTTATGGTCAAAAGGAGGTTGAAGTTGAGCACTTCTAAAAGGTTCAAGCTGCAGTTAAAAAATATAATTATAAAAATGTTGGCCATAGATTATATTTTATACATTTTGTCAAAGGGGCACAAGCTCCAAGCAGCACCAGTAAACCATCTCTATCAGTTGCACACATTTTTTATTTTTTTATTTATTTTTTTTACCATTTCTGTCTGATTTGTGTTTTTTTTTTTTTGTGTGTGTGTGCGCAACCAATATTTGTTGAGGTGTCTCTTCCAGTGATTCATACTCTAAGACATAGATTTAATTGTAATTTCAGTTTATCCCGAGTATTTCTCCTTTGTTTAGACTTCACTGAGCTTCTGTATTTCTATTTTTGCCTCTGGAGAAACACAGTCTGAGAACTATCTTCTTGCCTTCTCAGGCTTGTGACCTTGGTTGTTAACTTTGATCAGAAGCTTGACAGCTACCAAGAGGAGATTCTTCATTGTCTCTAGGTGGTTTAAGGAGCAAGTTGCTCCCTTTCTCTCCTACCATGCCCTTGGATATTAATATTAGTTCTGTCTGTGCTATATCAGCGAGTTTTTGCTCTTTCATCCAACCAGGTGATTGACTTATAACCTCAAACATCCTTTATCAACCTTTTCCCTGCTGTCCTCAGGAGCTTGCCTGTATACCAGCACTCTTCCCTGTGTTTTACAGATGTATTGGACCGGCCTGCGCATGGCTTTTTCATTTGAGGAAATATAATAGACTTATGGTTAAAATGAGTGTGTCCAGATGTACCAGCAGTACGCGTGACTATAGATTTTACAGTTCGGAGTTGTGGTGTCTTGACAGACAACTCGTCACCTGTTGAAGCAGCGTGACAAACATCATAATATTAGTTGAAAACGGTCTCAAAATGGAAATATTATTGTTAATCACAATAATCTCTGGGACAATTTACCGTCCAACAGAAGAAGTTACAACCTCAGGCCTTTTGGTTAGACTCTTCGTAAAATTACACTAATGACATCAGATTATTTTTGCTCCATCTTGCAGCATCAACAACAAACTGCAGCAGCCAGAGGCGGCATCAGGAGTTCTAGAATATGCAATGAAACATTTTGGTGAACTGGTGAGTACATTTTTTTCTCTTCTATATACAGAGGCACATGGAAGTTGGTTATGTTGCTAATGAAGCAAATATTCAGATTTATACAGTATATTAAAACATGATGAACAGAACTCAACGTCTGGGATTTGATTTTGTTACTGCTGACAGTAGCAAGAGTTCACACATGCTCAGTCTACATTTCTCCTTTTACTGTTTTGACCTACATAAGCGTCCAGTGGTCTGCATTGGACACGTTTTGCTCTACATGCTCTACGTGCCTTCCTCATTTGGACACAGAGATAGTAGATCTTTAGGGATATTTTCCTTTTCCATGTGTTGCACATTATGAACACATTGTTGTTAATGTGCATCATGTGGAAAAGCCATCTGCTGTATTAATCTGCAGCAAAGAGCAAGGAGAAGGATTTTTTCTTTAATTTACTGAATGTTTTACTTCTCCTGCACTTTGCAAATATTTTAAGTGCTTCTGCAACTGGGTCTTATTTAAGCTTTGAAAGGATTTAAAGCTTTATCCCTGGGAATACAAACAGAAATTTTATCATAACAGTGATAGTTTGTATACTATTAAAGTTAAATATTGAATATTTTCTCTTTCCCTACAGGCAAGTGTTTTTTCCCTCTGGCGTTCTTTCCTGTACAAGCTGACAGTTTCTATAAACTGTCAGCTCCTCAGTATTTCCAGCAGTGCTCTGGCGTATTTCATCTTAATTGTGGATGGGTCTGGTCTTCATATGAAATGATTGTCCAACAATAGACATTAATTGGACATGACCAGACATAATTTCCACATATATTACATAAGAAATAAAGAGAATCTTGTTATTCTCCTTTGAACCCGGTTTATACCATTAAGAAATGTACACATTTTGATCTGAAATATTCTGATTTGTATTTTTCACATAAGTGGAAGGCATTAAAATTGAGGACATTTTAGCATTGAGATGCTATTTTAGGCTTGAATATCTATAGTGATAGACTATCTCCTTTTAGCACAAAATCAACACAACAATAGTCTTTTCCAGCGTCCAATCAGATCATTTAGAAGCAGAAATAAACCCCAGTGGGCCGAGAAAAGCAGCTTCGTTGTCCATTGCTGTTCTTTGCGGATGTCTATTTTGCATCAGACTTTGGAAGGTGTGATAAAATGTGGAAATGTTGTGAATATGTAAAATTCATTAGTGTAATATTTGTTGCTTCTCGGGTGGGGCTAGAATATTAGGTAACACTTTATTTGAAGGGGGGTGAATAAGACTGACATGACACTGTCATAAACATGACATAACACCTGTCATGAACATCAATAAGTCTTCATGAATAGTTATGACTGTTGTCATAAAGCGTCATTCGGTAAATTATGACACTTTTAATACGTAGTAGACATTATTCAAAATGTCTTTGTTATGACAACTTGACATTAACCAAGAAATCATTACTGTTTAAACTTTACCTTTAATAACATAAAGTTGCCTAATTTTTAAAGTGCAATCAGTAATACTTTTATAACAAATTTATATCAGTAATGATTTCTTGGTTAATGTCAAGTTGTCATAACAGACATTTTGAATAATGTCAACTTTCTATTAAAAGTGTCATAATTTACCGAATGACTCTTTATGACAACAGTCATAAATATTCATGAAGGCTTATTCATGTGCATGACATGTGTTATGTCATGTTTATGACGGTGTCATGACAGTCTTATTCACCCCCCTTCAAATAAAGTGTTACCGAATATTATTTATAATGTTAAAATACAAAACTGGATTGTGCTTTTGTTCTAAACTGTGAGCAGTATTTTGTTGATGACACAGCTGAACGTTAGTTTAGCGAATGAGTAGTTCTGGATCCATGGTTCTTTCTGTGCTTGAGAGAAGCATTTTTGCCTTCTGTAAAAGCTCAGAAAAGACTCATTAAAAATAGCTTCACTGTGACGTGCTGAATAACTGTGTTTATGAGTTGACTATTTGGGAAGCTTTAATGTGGGAGGATGCAAGCTTTTCCTTTCAATTACTTTAACAACAAAGCAACAGGAAGTGGTCCCTGTTGTTAACGTTGATGGGTCCTTGAGCTGATGACAGAACCCACTCATCAGATACACATGTGGCTTTATCCGGCCAATAAAGCCACGTTAATGAACTTTCTTAGCTAGCTTTGACTGTAAACTGGCTGTGCATTTGAGTGTTTTGACTGTAAACTTGATTATTTTTGAAACGGCAATAACCTGATTAACATACTTTTCCTTCTCTTTGGGAAAAGTTCAATAATCATTCAGGTTCCCAATAAATCAAGTCCATGTGTTATTAATGATCTTGGTTTGTTTACTTGCTGGAATGTGTATTATGTGTTTCTGATTTAATTGTGGTGCTCACATTACTTTTATTGTTGCCAGTGTATTTAATTGTTTTAGCAGGTTTGTTTAGTGATGGTATCTTAGACAAATTTTCTCTTGTGGACAATAAGGCATAGATCAATCTGTCTAAATGGAGAGGGATGGTTAATAATAGGAGTCTGGGGTCTAAATGGCCACCCCGGCGCGCAGTCTTCCTCTTCTCAGTCCGTCAGAGCTCGCTCTGCAGCCATGCAGCGATTGCTAACAAAACTACTACAAACACTGCACACACACACACACACTCTAACTAACACACTTATAGTCTAAAAGACTCATCCGAAACACTCCTAGTAAAATCCAAAGCGTCACTGTGCTCCACTCTCTTCCCGTCTCCAAAACTCTCCAGAGCGTCTCGCACCACGTGTCTCCATTCTACCTAGCAACAGACGTCGACACCTTTTCATTGGTTGTTTTACAAATGTGGTACATTTAGACCCCACAAAATAATGCAGAATTGATCGATCATATTTCTGGCTTTATTTTGAAGTACATAACCACAAAACCAATATAAAAACACCACTTTTATAAAGTTTGAAGTCCATGCTGTCCAACAGAATTGAAATGAACACTCGGCATGCTGTCAGTGTTGTTACGAAGCCTTATAAATGCGTCACGTGCTTGCCCGCTGCAGAGCGGGCATCGACTCCAACTAAAACTGAAGTATGTATGTGTTAACTTTTATCTGCTACCTACTATGTGTATATTTCTTTCTTTAGGAAATCCAAGCCACTTGGTATGAGAAGCTTCATGAGTGGGAGGACGCCCTGGTGGCTTATGATAAGAAGATCGACATGAACAAAGAGGATCCGGAGCTGATCCTGGGCAGGATGCGCTGCTTGGAGGCCTTGGGAGAATGGTATGTCATTCGTTAGACATACCACATCCACACGTTTACTTTAGCTTTTGATATAAGATCAGAGTTTTGGGGTTCTTGGGCTTTTGGTCGAGCCTCAGCTGAAACAAATAAAGTCAGCGTCTGAGGTTTTGGCTGTTTCATCTCCCACTTTTCCTGGCTTTCTGTGATTACGCAACCTGTTCTAATGAGTCCTGTCATTTGGTCTCCCCTGCGGTTGCTCTGATTTGACCGACACAGTTTTACCAGGAAATGTGTTAACTGACATGGAGAGCCTGTAAGAGACTGAAGTGAGACTTCACCACAGCTGAGGCTTGACTTCATAACACCCCCACTCAGTGTGGAAGGACATCTTTAGGAAAAAATGAAGTCACAGGATGTCCAAAGGGTCCATATCAATGGATCGCCAAGGAATTTGACACAAACCAGACCTTGATTTGCTTATATAACCATTTTTGGGGGCAGTCTGCGATTCATAAGAAAATGATTCTGAAGCTTTACAAGGTAATATTTCATCCCACCTCGAGTTTTGTGTTTGCATCTGGATGGATAGAAGCTGGAGAGGATTTAGCTGATGACCTAGTAGTGAGCCAGGATGAAGCAACATATGGTTACACATTGACATTGTGCAGGTCTTCTAGTTATTTACCTAAAACTGGAAAAATGATTGTTAAAGTGCAATTTATGTCTGTTAGAGTGAAAATCAAATGTTGCTGTGGCTGGTTAGTGGCTCTCTGGAAACTAACTGGAACTGTTTTGGTGGAAGAATGGCTTGTTGTGTTGTTACCAGGGCAACAAAGACAGGTTAGTTCAGGCTGCAGTGTTGTTTATAAAATTTTGACTTGCCTTGAATCTGCCAAAGAATTTTGCCATGTGGGTTTGATTAAATGTTTTTATCTTGAATTTAGTATCACTGTTGAAGTTAAATATTGTTTAAAAGTTTGAACATGTCCAGTTTAAATCCAATACACACTTTAAAAATAAAATACTTCATTAGTTCACCTTAGTTTTTATATATATATAGGACCAATTCAGAACCATTGTTGTCTCAAGGCCCTTTACCAAGCAGTCTGATTGACTACAGAAATATATATTCAGTTCAGTAATATTTGACTTTTTTTAATGAAATAAGTATTGTGTCAATATTTAAATTTGTGAAAGTTTTTTTTATTTTTTATCTAAGGCAGCCCAGCCAGTCGCAGGGATCTTCCTCAAGTGACTGGGGATTTGAGACACTCACTAAAAACACAGAAGCACTGATCCAGTAACACTTTGTATGTTCAAGAAGAAAAACTCGGTTATTGTCAAAACTAGCTGGTGACTCCCTCCTCCAAGCTGTAGCTGCCAAACAGATTAGACTCCAGAACCTCAGTTTAGCCATAAACCTGCATGTCAAGCTGAAGTTGGAACTGTGTCAGTAAGTTTAACTGTCTGGTCAAGTTCATGTTTAAAACCTCCAGTCAGACTACTGTTGAACATTTCATAATGAAATGTTCAAATGTCATTATGAAATTTGATGAAATTTCCACGAGTTATGTCTAATATGCTTCTCACTGAGGCATAATTACTAAATAGGATGCTTTTTATAGGACTACTTTATACTAATTAACAATGAGAATTAATTTGGACACTCATGGTACTAATTATGCAACACAATAATTAGTACCATTAAAAGACTGTTCGACTTTTAGTAGACCCTCGCATGTTTTATTACCTCTCCAATCAGATAATGTGTGGCATGAATAAGACCTTGTGTAATCTCCTCTGTTTGGGTCCCATAAGTGTTTGTGGTTTTTATGTGACTAAAGGTTTCAAAAATCAAATTGTTTTGAAGAAACTGTGACCAGTGTCTCAGTCCTGTGACACTGGATAACTCAGTCCTGCTTTTATTTGTTTGCCTTCCTGAAGCACTAATATTCATCACAATACCAAGAGTGTTATTAAAAAAGTTATGGCACTAAGCCTTTCATGACATATTTGTATAATGATGCATGTATTAGTTGGGGTTGTAGCTAATGGCTGTTTTAGTGATCGACTATTCTGACCATTGATTCATTAATCAGATTTTTTTTAAAAACCTGACATATTGTACAGATTATTAGAAACACATTAGAAGATGCAAAAAAAAAATCAGTTCCTTTTTTAAATAGGAAAATAAACATTGAATTGCCTAAAGTGCAGTAAAGTGCATTCCTTAGCTGTATGATTAATCTGCAGCTTAAAAAATACTTCTGACATCAACATGTGAAAAACTCGGTACTTTCTGCTTGATTTATCAATATTATCCTCTTTATGTTTAGATTATCTGATTAATAAATGAATAGCAGATATTTTTGTAACATAATTTGAACTAGGTGAAGCTAAGTCTACGCCACTTGAGGAGATTTCTGTAGAACATATTTACAGACGAAAGGGTTTTTATCTTATATGTAAAATGTATCATTAGTAAAACTAATTAAAATCAGTTTCTTCCCCTCCAATGTAGCAGCACAACGCGAAGAAGCAGTTTGGTCCTAGTCCTGAAGTTCCCATGACCACACAGTGTTTCCTTCCTGTGAAACTCCTCCTCTTATTGTTGTTGGAACTGGAGTTAATGCAGCCTAATGATGAATCTGCAGTTTACACTTTACACTGGAGGTCCACAACAAGAAGCAAAATTTGATTTCTGTTTCACACACTGATAAGTATAAACATTTAAGCATAAACATAAGTAGGAGAAAGTACAATAAAAAGCTAAAGAAATTATAGTATTTTTTTGTTCTCGGATAGTTCTCATACAGTTGAGCTAATTGTGTTGCAATAGAGAAACTGACTGTGAGGTGTTCATTGTGTTTATCAGAAACAATCTGTGCAGGTGGTGCTGAAAACAGCTATTTGCAGTGTCAACCTGAACGTAAAAGTCAAATGGTTTGTGTCCAGGATGTGTGGGGTCAGTAGCGATATTAGCCGCTTTTTACCTGACCATGAACCTTTATGAGGTTTGGATGGAAGGAAGGTCAGCCGTTTGAACTGTCACTACTTCTGATGATTTAAACACTTGTTTCTAATTGAGTAATAATCTACTGTATACACACAGACACACACATGCACAAAATAAGTAGATCGTTTATGTAGTTATGTAACAGGCAGATGGAAAACTGCTTCAGTGACCCCCATCAAGCGGTCCTTTCCTCAGACTGCTCCTCTGCCTCTTTCTTGTTTGGCTCCAGCTTCCTGCCTGTTAAACACATGTAGCCAATTTGATCTGCAGCACAATCAATCAATTTTTAGTCTTGGTTTCATACACATTTCCCCTAAGGACACATCTGTTTGTTTTAGTATGCTCAGTCTCAAACCATTCGAAACGATGAATGGTTTAAGATGTTTTTGTTTTTTTATGCCAACAAAGAAATAAAAAAACGATGGAAGATGTGATAGAAAGCTTGTTTTTTTTTTTTTTTATCTCTGCTGAGGTTTCCTTACATCTTCCGCCAGAAGTGCTTGTCTGTTTCAGCTAACGTTGCCTTTAGTACAATCACTAATAACAAAAGTACATGTGAACAGTATGTAAAAAGAAGCTAACATTTGGCATGCTGTCCATTATAGCCCTCATACATGAAAGCCAATTCTGGAAGTTGCCTCGAGTTTGTTCTTTTTTGCTGCTTTGTAGCATTCCTGCAGTGTCACAGTACTATCTGTGGCTGATCTGTCTGATCATCAAGATTAATCATTCAGCTCACCAGCCATGTTTCCATCAAACTCTCATGCAAATTTTGATCTAATTTTTAAAATGTCTCAAAAAACAAAATGCAATCAAGTCGTGTTTCAACCAGGCCAAGCAAAACACCTTCGTCAGATCCAATGTTAATTTTAACATTACATTTGTTATTCTAACTTTATTTAGTGTAGTCTTTTTACGAAAATATAATTTAGTTTTAGTCATAATTTAGTCATCAGATTTGTTTTAGTCTTAGTTTTAGTTGACTAATTATAATAAAATTTTAGTCAACTAAATCTGCTGTCAATTTAATCGACAAAATTACATGTAAAATGTAAATAATTTTGAATTAACACAATGTAAATCATGTTTTTAACCAGTTATGACATATTGTTATTGACCGAATATGTAATACATACAAAAACAGATTACATTTTTTTCAGATGTCTTTATTTTTCTGACCTTGCCTTCAACAATAACAAAATATTTCAGCCAGTTGGCCTGTTCTGCCTGAAAATTATATTCACTGTCAATAACTAATTGCATATTGCAATCTTCATAAGCTATTCTTTTTTCTTTTTTTACTGTAAATCTAAAATAGACACCACATGTAACAGTTAAGCTATTAAAAATAAAACTGGTTAATACTGCTGTATTAATGATAATTTAAAATCAACATCCATGAAAATCAAACCACAATGTTCCATTAAAAGCACAGCAGAAAACAGAATTGCTCATGTCAAACATCATGTCAGTTTCAGTAGCTGATTGTGGAGGAGCTGTGGTCCTGTCGGCACTGTTTCTGTTTCTCCCTTCATCCATTCTGTCTGATGTCAACCAGTCCGTTTAAAACACTCACTGACACGTTTTGAAATTTGCCCCATATTCATCCTCTCTGATGCGTCTTCCTCCTCACGTTACGTCTGTTTTATTGCAAGAGTTTTCTGTTCTGAGGACGCTGTGAAGAACCAGGTGAAGATTTCAGCAGGAGATGTTAAAAGCAGCCCCATTTTTGTTTTCTGTCTCTAGGCGACGGTGGCAACTGCTTACTTGATATTTCTCATTTTTCAGCCACATTTAGTATTTTACCAGACATTGTCAGTCCTGTCCTGCCATAAATCCCTGCATGTTCATGTAACAGCAGCACATCAGCAAGCAAACTGACGTCATAGCGCAACAAAGCAAACGTTAGCCTGATATGGGGAAGGCGGTTGGCCTTCAGATTTTCACGCCACAGAATAATTTCCATCTTTCTGCCTTTCTTTGCGTAAACAGGAAATATTCCATTAATTGGACCCCTGGCTCCACTGCTTCCATCCTAGAAGGCCCGCTTCTCTGTCCTGGAGGTTTGGACTTGGACATTTTTGATGCACAGATCCACAAGTAGATTGGGAAATGGGTTTCCCAAGTAAAGCCTGGTGGCCTGCCATGCTAATGATACACTGGAGCAAACCCCGGGGAACGGTCGCTATGTCAGAACTTATTGTGTTTCCCTTTAGCCTGTCAACTCTTTTTCAGAAAATCCAAAAACCACCTCAAGCGAGCGTAAAAACCTTCCCAAAAATGTAGGAAGATTTTTTTTTAAGTTTTCAAAATGAGCAGAAAAAAACCTGGATGGAAACGTGGTGACTGAGTTTATTTCTGTGAAGGTGGTAGGGGTCAAATTGGGATGGCCTTTTTGCTGATGTGGGTGCCTGATGTTCTCCAGGGGTCAGCTGCACCAGCAGTGCTGTGAAGAGTGGACGCTGGTCAGTGAAGAGACTCAGGCCAAGATGGCTCGTATGGCCGCTGCAGCTGCCTGGGGTCTAGGTAACGGCAACTGCCATGTTCCCTCATCAGTCATCAATCAGACACTAACGTTGTGCAGGGTTTCACCACATGGTCTTTGGTTATTTATCAACCAGTTTTCTTGTTTTTCCAGGACACTGGGATAGCATGGAGGAGTATACATGTATGATCCCCAGAGACACACACGACGGCGCTTTTTACCGAGCAGTTCTAGCTCTCCATCAGGACCTCTTCTCATTGGCTCAACAGGTGGGTTGCATTATTACTCAGCCACATAAATGCTGAACAGGATGTACTTTGAAGGTTTATGTTTTTGAAAGTGTTCTCATAAAGTCACACACTTTTTGGATCTGTCTGGCCATGAAGCTCGTGAAATTTCACTTCATCTTTGTAATTATTACAATTATTTCCATTTTATTAGCACGTCAGTGTTTTTTTTCTGCTGCCCAGAGAGGATTGAACTCCTCTCATCGATTCTTGACGCTTCATTAATGATAGTAATAATGAAATCCACCAGGTTTGTTGGTTCTTTCTCTTCTTTTCCACATGGAACGCTTTTGGTGTGGAAATGTTATGTAAGTGCAGCTCATTTCAGTGTTCAGCTGCCGAAGCAGGTGACTCCTCTCGTGGTCTGGTGGAGGTTAGGATGATGGTTTTCCTCTAGTTTAAGGAAGGTTGGGCTTTTGTCAATGAGCTCAGACTCCCTGGAGCTGGATGTGCTTAAAGCAAATGAAGAACACACCGACAGCATGCTTCAGCAGCCGACAAACAGTAAACAGTTGCTCACCCAGTTGCCCTGTTCTTGTCCTCTTCAGATTTGCTTCCCTCCTTCTCATCACAGACATTCTCCTTCAAATTTTGAGATTACATCCAGGTGCGGCCTCTGAACCTGCTTAGTGCCTGAAGAATAGCTGGAGCTCACAATGTAAGACACACACACCCAGCACAGAGGAGAAGAGTAGGGGCTTAAATGTGCAGTTTTCCAGATGGAGTGTGTCATCCTCACACAGAGCTTCCTTTGATTCAGTGGGCTGTAGCTTTCATTCTTAACATCCAGACATGTGCTTCAAGGGTCAATTTTGAGTGAAATTTCTCGAGTTGATGTCTGAAGTTTCCTGTTGTGGTCTGTGTGACAATTTGTGCCTTGCAAATATTTTTAGGACTGTAATGATTCATTGAACGATGAGAGAATCTTGATTTTTAAAAGTCCAAATGATCCACCTCAAGGCTTTTTTAAGTAGTTTAAGTAGCTTAAGTAGTTTAACTGCCTAGTGCAGCTGGAGGATTTTGTTGTGCCGATGAACTATTGATGAGTACTAAGTGCTATAAGCTGTGATGGAGAAAGAAGCGTTACCAAGAAAGAGATAGAAGTGTGTCCAACGTGTTGGGTCGCTCACTTTGGATGCATTTTCCTTCTTTTCAGGGGCAGCTACCTACTAATCTATGATGTGAAAAATATATAGATTAGAAATGTAAAATCACTTTGTCATACTTCAAACTTTAGACTGAAAGTTAAGTTTAATATAAAAGGCAGTGTTTACTAATGAGTTTGCTTCCTATTTTTTAAAAGTTAATGTGAAATGTTTCATTTCTCTTCTGTTTTTATGCTTAAAGTTTTTTCTTACTTTAAGCTTAAGATTAAAAGTGATAGAATCATATTGCATCTTAAGCAATAAAATGCTGTTATTATAAAAAAAAAAAAGTTTTTTTACTGGTCTTTGCTCTGTCATATATTTCTTTTACTATGATATGTAGCATCTATTCCACTTCACAGTGTTGTAAGGTAATTTAATTTATATAGCACATTTGCAGCATAAGGCATTTCAGTGTGCTTTACATGAATTAGAGGAAATATAAACAAAAAACAAAACAAGAAAATTACTTCACAATTTATAATCTAATAGTTTCTCTAAATCCTAAGGTTGTTCTAACTAGTAGGTTTTATTCCTGTTCTGGGTTGAGTGATGTGTAAAACTAAATGTTCCTGTTCCGTGTTGCTAAGCAGAATAAGAATAAGTGCACCATGGGTTGTGCTCCTTTGTGTTGTCTGGTGCATATAATTCCAAAAAGATTCACTGAAATTATTGTCTGAATTGTAATGCTATAAAACTCCTGGGAAACTCAGACCTTCACTGTTGGTTATTTAAAAGACCCGTCTGTCTTCATGGCTCTAATAACAAAGTTACATCACAGAGCCCTGATCTTATGTGAATAAGTGCAGCTTTACGTAAGAGAGCAGAGGGCTGTTTAGCTGCTGTTTTGTGCTGCCAGAAGCTAGACACTGCATTTACTGGGAGTCGTCTGGACTGCACATTTGCAGCTTGGCCCCAGCGCAGTAATTCAGGAGTAAACAGCACTAGACCTGCATGGAGAAACAGCCTCATTGTCACCTCGTATCAAGCCTAGTGTCCCAACTCCTCATCTTGTTATTTGTGCTTCAGGATGTTTTGGCATGCCACCCCTGCTTCCCCTCCCCGTTAAAGAAAAAAAAAAAAAAAAAAATTGGTAGGAGTTGGTTTGAAACAGCTATGTGCCCCTCCAAGAGTTTCCTCAGTTTTCTCCTTTATTTTCTCTCCCTGATAATAAGAGCTGCCAACAGCTGCAGCCGATAAGGCCCCATAAATCATTGGTTCTGTGTCCTTGGTTGTCCCCATCATCTTATCTCCATTATCTCTCTCCATCAGGAAGTGTTTCCACTCCTCAGGGCTTTTAGTGGTGATGGACTGTTTGCCAACTCTGTGGGTGTAGATAAGTCCTGCATTTGCAGGAGAAATCAGATGGCCAGATTTCTGCAAATGATTCAGCAGAAAGCAGAAATGACTACAAACAGGATGCTAACCAAATAGTTTTTAGGGGTGAATCTATGGCAATATAAATAATATATATTATTTTTATATGTTTATAAAAATAACCTCTGGAAATATAAAAAAATGTTTTTCAGAGTTTTCATCTCTTTTTATTTATAAAAAGTTTTAAAGTCCCTACACTGGCTCCCTGTAGCTCAAAGAATAGACTTTAAAATACAAAATACTGTTAGCACCACAACACATTAAAGATCTGTTATTGCTCTACTAACCGTCTAGACCCCTCAGATCTTCTGGTTCTGGTCTGCTCTGCATCCCTAGAACTAGAACCAAATGAGGAGAAGCAGCATTCAGCTTCTATGCACCACAAATTTGGAACAAACTTTCATAAAACTGTAAAACAGCTGAAACACTGGGTGCCTTTAAATCTCAACTTAAAACCCACCTGTTTAAAGTTGCTTATGGCTAAATTAGGATTAGAGTGTGGGTTTTGATGTTTTGTTATCTTTGATGTTTTTAATGTTTTTATCTTTACTTTTCATCTATTTATTAATGTCACATACTGTTTTTATTTTTTATTTTTTTCTTTAATTATGTAAAGCACCTTGAAATTTGATTGATTTGATTGATAGGATAAAAATTTAAAAATATATTCCATTTTATTAAAAAAAATTATAATTTAAAAGTTATGATAAAAAAATCTTTAGATTCATTATTGTAATTTGATTTTTTGTCATCTTCCCTCAAACTGCCTGAGTCCTCTCTAGCGCCTCCAGGGGGCCACAACCCCCACTTTGAAAAACACTGGAAGAGCCAATTTTAAATGCCCAGTAATAAGAAAAATAAGTTAAGGATAATCTGTACACCCTGTTTTTTCATTATTAATTATATGTGAAATTCTCACAGGGCGTTGGAAATTTAAGACCAGATTATGGAATCTAAAGTGACAAAAAGATGAGTGATGAAAGGTGGATTATAACCAAAATCAGGGGCACTGCCAGGAATCGTGGGCCCCCTGACAAAAAATTACATTAGGCCCCCCTGCGCAGCTGCTGTTACAATTTTTTGAGTCTATTTGACCCATAAAAAGTGTCACAATTTTAAAGGCCTGCATCTGCCTTGCTTTCTTTGGTTCAATTCTGATAATTAGCACAATATTTACTGCTCATGAATTTAACATCGATTATGCAAGTAGGTTGCTTAAATTTTTTCTATTAGTTTTAGATACTGAAATGTCTCTACCAAAGAGCAACAGTCAAAAGCAATGTGCAACTACACATAAAGCAATCCAGACTTCTCAAAAATGCTATGTAGTTGCATTTTATTCAAGCTGCAGTACATAACTTTAATAAAAATATGTTTTCTCCATATTTGTTAAAGCTGTCACCATGTCGTAGCAGTTTGTTATGAGACAGATAATCTGTGAAAACAATCAATCTCCTCCATCTCCTTCCTGAACTACTATTACTGGTTAAAGTAATGCACCGTTCTGACCAAAACAGCCAATTAGAACTAATAGGACGCTCTTAGCGCTGTCAATTAGCCTCATTCACTCACTGCTAAATGTGCTAATGGGGGAGAAACAACTTATTACAAGAAACCGTTTATCTGCTGTCATTGGTAGCTATGCTAACTAAACTGAGCATTCACAGTTTGAATCTGTGTAGCTCTGTGCTATGCTAGCTGCAGCACGGCAGAAATCAAGGGGGAGGAAGGATGAGCAGCACCACATGAGATTGTGATTGACAGCCCCCCCCTAAAGTACTAAAGCTCTCCTGTCACTGACTGGTTGTTTCTAGCACTGGGAGAAAGCAGAGAAAATAGATTTTTCACAGATTACCTCTCATACCATACTGTCACAACATAATGACAGTTTTAAAAAAAAATATGTGAAAAAAATATGTATATAAAATACTTCACTTAGGAGAGGGCTCGTCAGAGCTGCTGCTGACTCATCTGTTAAGTGTGGTGAAAAGTACAAGGGACAAGTTAAATAAATGAATATGTTGGTAAATTGTTTCCTTAATTCATTAAATGCTAGTGAAATGGAGGCAAACAGTAGTTTGTTGCTAAGCTAACTCGGCTAAATGGTTGATAATCTCACACAGTCTACCCACCTCTCTTGGAGAAAAACTGAGTTATAAATTAACACGCTTGCCTTTTTCCAGGGGTGAAAATAGTTTAAAATTCTTGGGGGTACTATGACTAAAAAAAAAAAATATATATATATATATATATATATATATATATATATAAAACTTCTTTGTGTGCTTTGGAGTTTCTGTGCTGATTAATTTTTTTGCGAAGTGATAAAAGCTGGTTAGCTCTTGAATTGTTACAAAATAAATCTGTATTTCCTTCAGCCCACTGGCTGCAATGTTGACACCTTGAGATGCCATGAGACCTAAATTCTGAACATCATGGCATGGAGTCCATCCCAGTTTT